AGATCTGTAGAGCCATCAGCCCTTAAAAACTAGCTCCACCTTCCTATCTAGAGGGGTGCAACATATGTTTAACCACCTCCCGCCCGCCATATAGTAATGTCTCCTAGATTGTAAGCTCGAAAGAGCAGGGCCCTCGACCCCCTTGTGTATTGTTTTGTTACTATATTGTCTCATGTTCTGTCCCCCACTATAATGTACAGCTCTGAGCAAACCTTTTTGGCGCTATATAAATACTGTATAATAATAATGACAGACGCAAGGTGGTTCTCTTGCTCTGGGAGGATGTCATATGACACCCTCCCATTCTAACCACGCATGTGCGGCTCCTGGAGCGCGCAGTGCGGCGATCGGCGGTGCGCTGTCTCCCTAGGACACAGCGGATCACCGATCCACAGAAAGAGCCGAAGATATCGGCTCGGTCATGTGATCAGCTGTGTCCAATCACAGGTGATCGCATGTAAACAGGGAAATGCCGGTTATCGGCATTTCTCTCCCCACGAGCCGTCACGCTGACAGAGGAGAGGAGAGCCGGTAATCGGCATTCCTCGGAGTGCACAGAGCACTGATGATCAGTGTGCCCTGATGATCTGTGTAGCCCCAGCAGCGCCACCTGTCAGTGTCCATCAGTGCCAGCTCACATTGCTCATCCATGCCACCTGCCAGTGCCACATCAGTACCACATCAATGCCACATATCAGTGCCATCTGAGCTGCCTTTCAGTGTCACCCATCAGTGCCAGTCAGTGCCGCCTATCAATGCCAGTCAGTTCCACCTATCAGTGCTGCCGATCAGTGCCGCCTATCAGTGCCCGTCAGTGCTGCCTATCAGTGCCGTCTGTCAGTGCCGCCTATCAGTGCCAGTCAGTGCTGGCTATCAGTGCCATATATGAGTGCTGCCTTTCAGTGCCCATCAGTGATGCCTGTCAATGCCCATCAGTGCCACCTACCAGTGCCTCCTCATCAGTGCCACCTATCAGTGCTCATCACTGCCGCCTCATTAGCGAAGATCAGTGAAGGAGAAAAATCACTTCTTTACAAACTTTTCAGTGGTTTTTGGTTTGTTTAAGAAAAAATAAAAAACCCCGAGGTGATTAAATACCACCAAAATAAAGGTTTATCTGTCACAAAAAAATGATAAAAATGTGATATGGGTACAGTGTTGCATGACAGCGCAATTGTCATTCAAAGTGCAACAGCGCTGAAAGCTGGAAATTGGCCTGGACAGGAAGGGGTTATAAGTGCCCTGTAGGCAGGAAGGGAAGTGTCCTGTAGGCAGGAAGGGGGTAGAAGTGTCCCAGGAAGGGGGTAGAAGTGCCCTGTAGGCAGGAAGGGGTAGAAAGTGCCCTGTAGGCAGGAAGGGGGTAGAAGTGTCCCGTAGGCAAGGGGTTAAAAATTGTCTTTCTTTTTATAGTCACGCCATCCCTCCTCAGAAGCAAACATGGGCATGCAATCTGGCAGCCAGGGGCAGACTGACAACTCATGGGGCCCCGGCAATAGGGGATCATGGGGCCCCTGTGTCCTTGCCCAAACTCAAAAAAGCCTATGAAAAAGGTACCAGGAGCATCTCATGGGGCCCCCTACTGACCCTGGGCCCTCAGGCAGTGCCCGAGTTTCCAAATGGTCAGTCCGACGCTGCTGGCAGCCACCTTTAAAAAAAAAAAAAAATCTGAGGCCTTAACCCCACCCTGCCTCTGTACAAAAATTTAGAACAAAAGGTTACTTGTCCCACCTTGTAGTGAGAGCTGAGATAGGAATGTATCTAATGTATTAAAAAAATCTTTTTGCCGTGCAGAAAGGACCAGATTAGGACTTCTGATTCCAGGAGCTAAATAACGGCCCATTTATCTCCTGCCTTCAGCTAATAACCAAATCTTCTATTTCTCCCATCAGTTTATTCCTCACAATTATTACCTTTTGTCCCACCAGCTCCTCTCTATTAGATTGTAAGCTCCCAGGAGCCAGGCCTTCCAAACCCCTCTTGTATTGACTTGTCCCGTTGCTGTATTGTCTCCCTTTATATGAGCAAACTGTTGGAGCCATATACCCACATGGAAGACAAATATATTTTAAATATATTTTAAGAATACATTCTTAATATATTCTTCCCAAATATATCGACATAATTTCAAATACTACAATTTTGGCCATATTCAATATATTTCAATACATTTGTGAATATATTATTAAAAATATATTCAGAACGCACGCTGCGATATATATCAAGGTGTCATTTGGAATGCATTTACAAGTATATTTAAAAATCTATGTTTAAATGCATTTTTTTAGATGTTCAAAAAATATCTGGAAAATATATTTTTAAATATATGCCTTTTGGAAAATATATTTTAATTGCCATTTTTGGAAAACATGTTAAAAAATATTTGCGTAGGCCAATGTATTGTAAATATATGTCACATTTATAATATTTTTTTCTAAATATATTGAAAATATAATTCTCTTCCATATGGGTAAATCCTGTACATTATTATATTTAATAATGAACGTTAAAAATAGAAAGCAACTTTAGTTATTTTATATAAAATTCTGGCTTTTATTATTTTTTTTCTTTTCTATACAGGTGGATTGATGATCCAGGTTTTCCGTCACGTTTGTCTTCATAAACAGCAAATGAACCATATGGGTGTTTTAAGTGGCTGAAAGTCTTTACAGCAGTTCACTGAGGGATTCACACAGGACAGAAGACCTATCGGTGTTCTAAATGTTTTGGATCCTCTTCAACATTGATCAAACCTCTGCGGACAACAGGAGAGAAAAAAAAGAGAAAGTACAAAAAAAGGCCGGACTTTACTGGTACTAAGGAACGGTCTATTCATCAATAAAAATATGTATTTTTATTACAAAATTCAAAAACCTACATTCACAAAAGCATCTAACTGATCTGTTCCCAAGTGTTTTCTTCATTGACGGATCCTGAGTTAATACTTGATTAACACTGCCTCAGTACCAGAGACTGGGTTGCAATCAAGAAGCATCTTGCCGAGCCTCTGAAACCTCAGAGAGGAGAGCCCTTTCCAGGTTCTGCTGACTGTTGTTATTGCAGCCAAGTTTGAGGACTCCAGCTAAGCCCACCTCCCGATATATGTTCCACCTCGGTTCCCACGATCCATGCCTCATTTCCAATGTTCCTCCTCCTCTTATGGATGACAGGTTTGTAGGCAGGTCTGAGGATGGGACACTGGCCATGGAGAAGCCTCGGAGAAAGCAACTTCCTAAGCCGGCGTAGACCTTCCAACAGAGAGTTGCAGCTGTTTTATGGGATGTGTTCAATGGGACCACTTAAGCCCACATGGTCACTTGTTTCATTTGCTTCTGCCACAAGTCTAAGGGATTTCATCAGGTGAAGATTGGATGTCCTCATTATCTTGCTTCTCTGTTCATCTACTCCTCCTCTCCATAGACTGATCACAAAGTACAACTGCAAGAGTTGTATATATTGGCTACCAATATATAGGAAGGACAAAAAGACCGCTCTGGAAGCGTATTAGGGAACATGTTCAAAATATAAAAAATGGTTTCCCGAAACACAGTGTTTCTAAACACTTCCTAAAAAAACATAATAAAGATCCTTCGGGTTTGAGATTCTGGGGGATCCAAAAATATACTAAACACTGGAGAGGAAGTAGTAAGATTAAATCCTTGAGCCAGGCAGAATCTCGATGGATTTATATTATGCATACGCAGGCACCTTATGGACTCAATGTGGAATTCGATTTAAACTGTTTTATCAGTGACTTTTAATTAGTGAGATAAATTAAAATGTATTTATTTTTTAAGGAAGCCCCTAGTGGTGGTAGTCTGGCTATGGACATATATACGTATTTTTGTATGGAAACTATTGTGAATACAAAGTATGGGTGTATTAACATATTATATATGGGCAAAAAAAAAATCTTTATATAATGGATATCTGTATTGAGTACATATTTATTAATTATGAGTGTATTAACATGATTTTTATAGTTTTTTTCTGCCGTACAATTTTTATTATATATGGATATAACTTTAGGGATGAATATAAGGTTCACATATATAATATGGAAAATATTGTAAACTCAAGCCATAGGCGCATTAATATGATTTTTATAGTTTTAATATATACGGATGAAAATCTTTATATAGTAGATATTTTAATTATTATATAACTACTAATTAGGGGCTTATTAACAATAGTTTTTTATAGTCCTAATATATATGGAAAAAATCTTCGTATGATAAATGATTTTAATATACGATGAATTAAAATTTAGGATAATTTATATAGAAAAAGATTCATGTAAAAGGAGGTTAGAATGATAGTAGTTGATCTTTATTGAAGGATATTAATTAATAAGATATGGTCGTTTTTATAAAATAAGAAATATATATATTTTGTTCTATTTTTTATATGTATATATTTTTTTTTTTTTTTTTTCATTTATATAAATTTTTCTATATGATCATTCCGATTTTTCTATTTCTTAATTTTTCCTCTTTTTTAATTTTATTTTCATTTTGCATATATATTTTGTTTATATATGTACATTAAATAGATGGGTTTTAAACAAATAAAGTGGTTTTTAATATAGGTTTTAATTAAATGAATATGGGTTTAAATTAAACTGTTGTACTCCATAAGATTACTGTATATTAATAGGATACTGGAATCGCGGTACTAAATAGTGGTACAGGTTGAGGTACATTCCCAAAGGGGACATTGTAATAATACTCCTCCGTTTAGATAGTGAGGTTAGCGGGCTTCGGGAAAATGGCCGCCGGGAGCCCGCCCTCTAATTGGGAATAGCGATTAGGCTGGATCCTATTTAAATGCATTCTGACACTGGTGGGCGTTAACCCTGATGAAGTCACGACGCACGTGACGCAACGCGTCGGTACGCCATATCTGGATTGGAGTTACGTCACTGCCGGTCACGTGGGGACGCATGTCCGGACGCAGCGGCCATATTGGTTTCCCTTGTTTCATGTGATACACCTATGGGATGAGGTGGAAAGCTATCTGTAACCAGGAAACAAATGTGAGTGTAACCAATATGTTTTAGAAGTGTTTGTATTAAACAATATTACACTATGGGAAGTTCTGTTTGTGTCCTATATGACATTGAGAGGAGGTGGAGTGGAAATCCTGTGATCCCCTGCTGAGCTACCTGTAAAAAAAGATTGGCCATAGAGGAGATCAGTAGCCCTTTGGCCCCTTGTGGGTCAGTGTGGGGAGGTGAGCAGGCATTGCTGCCATTTGAGGATTCTTTTTGAGCACTAGAAGTGAAGATCACTGTTCGCCTTGTCACAAGTTACACCTGCACGGACCTTTTTGTTTTATTTTTTTTGCATATGCACACTGAAAGGTTTATGTGTATTAATCACAAAGAGCAGTATATCTAATGATTGTTTTTGAATCAATTGGATATATATACTTTTCACTTAAAATATTGATCACTTTTTAGATTTGAAGTATGAATTAATTGTAGATATATATAATTTTTTTCACGGATTATATTATTTATCGTTGATATATTATGGATCAGTTTAATTTATATATACCATTGTGAGCTATTAATTTGGTATATATCACTTATAGTGTTACAATTGATCTGTAGAAAAGTCTAATTATTATTATTAAGCACTATTATTCACTGATGGCACTTTAATATATGCATAGATTTATTATTTTAGCGCTTCACTAATTCAAGGTTATATATTTGGTTACTTAATGGTTTAAGGCAGAGTGATAGCAGCTGTTATTTTTAGGGACCTTACCTATATTAAGCGCAGGAGGATACTTCCATTTTGCAGGTTTGTAGGCAGGTCTGAGGATGGGACACTGGCCAGGGAGAAGCCT